GTACACTGAGGTTGTGTGTGGGAGTAATCACTGATTGGTCAGTACACTGAGGTTGTGAGTGGGTAGTAATCACTGATTGGTCAGTACACTGATGTTGTGAGTCTGTAGTAATCACTGATTGGTCAGTACACTGAGGTTGTGTGTGGGAGTAATCACTAATTGGTCAGTACACTGAGGTTGTGAATGGGTAGTAATCACTGATTGGTCAGTACACTGAGGTTGTGAGTGGGAGTAATCACTGATTGGTGAGTACACTGAGGTTGTGAATTGGTAGTGATCACTGATTGGTCAGTACACTGAGGTTGTGTGTCTGTAGTAATCACTGATTGGTCAGTACACTGAGGTTGTGTGTGGGAGTAATCACTGATTGGTCAGTACACTGAGGTTAGGAATTGGTAGTGATCACTGATTGGTCAGTACACTGAGGTTGTGAGTCTGTAGTAATCACTGATTGGTCAGTACACTGAGGTTGTGTGTGGGAGTAATCACTGATTGGTGAGTACACTGAGGTTGTGAATTGGTAGTGATCACTGATTGGTCAGTACACTGAGGTTGTGTGTCTGTAGTAATTACTGATTGGTCAGTACACTGAGGTTGTGTGTGGGAGTAATCACTGATTGGTGAGTACACTGAGGTTGTGAATTGGTAGTGATCACTGATTGGTCAGTACACTGAGGTTGTGAGTCTGTAGTAATCACTGATTGGTCAGAACACTGAGGTAGTGAGTGGGTAGTAATCACTGATTGGTCAGTACACTGAGGTTGTGAGTGGGTAGTAATCACTGATTGGTCAGTACACTGAGGTTGTGAGTGGGTAGCAATCACTGATTGGCCAGTACACTGAGGTTGTGAGTAGGTAGTAATCACTGATTGGTCAGTACACTGAGGTTGTGAGTGGGTAGTAATCACTGATTGGTCAGTACACTGAGGTTGTGAGTGGGAGTAATCACTGATTGGTGAGTACACTGAGGTTGTGAATGGGTAGTAATCACTGATTGGTCAGTACACTGAGGTTATGAGTGGAAACAGTGTCAGTGTATTATATACCTAATCCGCTTGTGACCTATTTCTGGATGTATTTATTTCACTGATACCCTATTCTAGATCCATGTCCATTGATTAGCAAATTCAACCAACACCGAAGTTCAGAGGATGTCAGGCAAGACGGGCATGTGCATGCAGCTTTCACCTTCCTCTCCTGAGAGTTCACATTCCCTAAATCTTGGGATTTCTTTGCATCTTATCCGGAATGAATTACACCTGTTATGTCAATGTGTCCAACACATGAACTGATGTTTTTTAACCTTGACATCAAAACTCAACGATGTTGAAATAAGTCCAATTTCATATCACATTCCTTCTGCATGTCTGATTTATGCCTTTACGAAGTACTGTGTTGGAACTGATTGTATCAGAGTTATCTGCCCTTCACTGACACAAAGTATTCTTTCCATTTAGAAACACACAATTATGATGACTGCCCATGCGGTACTAAAAAGTTTAGAGTATTAAGCCTGTGACTGTATTGTATTCTGCATGGCGGAGAAGGTGTTACTGCCGACTATAGGCCATCAGTAGGTGCTTGTTGTGTGGCCATTGTAACGCTGAACTGGATAGCCTTTGGCATAGGCTACGGAGTACGGAAAGCTGTCTAAGGATCTGTAAGGTCACCTTTAATGCAGGGATATTTCAAAGTTTCTATTAATTCCTTTTTCCATTTAAATAAAAAAAGTGTTGAGTTTCTTTGATGTTATAGGATATTACACCTGTTAATCTGCCGATCTTCCAGCATGTTTGCCTTTTGCATTAAGTCGATATCACTGAGTTGATCTTCCTAATTTAACAGCATGAGGCTGGTTATCAGCCTGTTACAACAGATAAATCCAAAATGAGAACTGTGCTTGTGGATCTTCATAACATCAAACAGCACGCACCCTGCAAGGATTTACCTGGTTATTTATTTGGGGGTATGTAGGACTCAGAGCCTTTCACTGAAAGGGTCCATGGGTAAAAGCTGGGGGTCCTAAGCTACAAACTGGGGGTCCCAGAGAAATGTCTCAAAAATAAAATACAGTACAAATGACATAAGATTGTGCATCCACAGAGGCGATTCGTAACAACAGATATTCCCCCACTGAAACTAATCTACAAGTGCTTGCACTAGAAGTTTGTGCTGCATTTGAATGTGTATTGTATTTTTTAAATGATTAATGAATGAAATTGAATTTTGTGACAAGTCATTGGTGTGTAGGTTAGTGACACAAAAAAATTATGTAATTTACTGACACCTAATTGTTGTGTAATTTGGTGACACACAAATATGTAATTTAGTGACACACAATTGTTATGTAATTTAGTGACACAATTGTTATGTAATTTAGTGACACACAATTGTTATGTAATTTAGTGACACACAATTGTTATGTAATTTAGTGACACACAATTGTTATGTAATTTAGTGACACACAATTGTTATGTAATTTGGTGACACACAATTGTTATGTAATTTAGTGACACACAATTGTTATGTAATTTAGTGACTCACATTTGTTATGTAATTTAGTTACACAATTGTTATGTAATTTAGTGACACACAATTGTTTCGTAATTTGGTGACACGCAATTGTTATGTAATTTAGTGACACACAATTGTTATGTAATTTAGTGACACACAATTTTTATGTAATTTAGTGACACACAATTTTTATGTAATTTAGTTACACAATTGTTATGTAATTTAGTGACCCAATTGTTATGTAATTTAGTGACACACAATTGTTATGTAATTTAGTGACACACAATTGTTATGTAATTTGGTGACACACAATTGTTATGTAATTTAGTGACACACAATTGTTATGTAATTTAGTGACTCACAATGGTTATGTAATTTAGTGACACACAATTGTTATGTAATTTAGTGACACACAATTGTTTTTCGTAATTTGGTGACACGCAATTGTTATGTAATTTAGTGACACACAATTGTTATGTAATTTAGTGACACACAATTTTTATGTAATTTAGTTACACAATTGTTTCGTAATTTGGTGACACGCAATTGTCATGTAATTTAGTGACATAATTTTTACGTAATTTAGTGACACACAATTTTTATGTAATTTAGAGTCCTTCTCTAGCATGATGATATGAGGCATTTTACACCATTGAATGCCACAATAGACCTGATATATTACTACATGTTCTCTAACTTGTTTCAATCAGTATTTGTTTTACGATGCCATCAGGGATCAACAGTCCATGGGTGTCTATAGATTTCACATCAGAACTAACAGTTGTAACTGCATCGTTATTGACAAAGGCAGGCTGTTTCTAAATCAGAAGTGAATAAAAGCCTTCGATTGGGAAAAATAGAGGTGGTATTTCACCCACCTCGTACTCAGTGCGCAATTACACAGCTGTTTCAGACAGGTTTATGATACAAGGAAGTCAACACCACCAGCTCAATGTTGTCAGTGTATTGACCAAATCTGTTGGAGTAGCTTTGTCCCCAATGGCCTCTCCCAAGGTCACTGTGTCACTGATAATGTATTGTGAACCAAAAAGCTTCATCTAATATTGACTTAAATTGTTGTTTTGTCTTTTTAATGTTAAATCTTTCAAGATAACAATGATTCCTGCATATTATATTTTGACATATTACTGTGGACGAGAGACTTGTATTGGTGTGAACTGATGACACACTGATTGGGTGACATATGGTCCGGAGTGCTCTCCCTTCAATGACAGCCATTGTGTCCTTTGTAAGGCCAGGTTCACACAGTGCCGATTATGGCTCCCGTTTGAGATCAGACAGCACTAAGTGAAAAAGTCGGATTACTATCGTCAATGATCTGGAATGTCCTATCATTGTCTGAACGCAGTCGTATGTGTTTGTAACAGAGTCCTACGGATCGGGAAAGGTCCAGAGATGTCGGCCAAGCACTCCCGACAGTATGGTGCATCCCATAACATTTGGGAAAATCAGCCGATTTTGGCTAGTCGGATTACTATCATGACTATGTCGTGACAGATTCTGCTGTATCAGATCAAAATCGTAACAATGTCCTGTGTTGTCTGGACGGTGTCCTGTGGATTGGGACGCTGTCATGACGAACCGGCGTGAATTGTTCATTGCCGTTTCTTGTCGATTGAGTCCAGATTGCCACCAGATCTTGCCGAATGCGAACCGTCTTTGTCAGCTCACTGTCTGATCTCTGTTGGTTCGCATTCGGGAGAATCGGGATACTGTCAGGACAGATTCGGTTGTTTTTTACCATGCGGAAGATACAAATCGGATCAGATTCGGATTGAGAACAGGAGAATCAGAGCGAACTCAGTTGGAAACAGCAGATTCGGGACGCTTCCTGAACAATATCTGATTGTTTGTGAATTTCCCTCAACAAATCACAGGATATTGATCAGACTTTTGACAAATGTTAATCGGGAATGGTCCTATCAAGGACGGCAGTAAAAATCCTGAATGTGTGACTTAGCCCTTACACTCTGTAGATATTGATGTGGGCAACTTCTGCAGTGTCACATTCTGTAGACAGAAGGATATAGAAACAGTGCAGTATCCTGATTTGCCATCCCGATTTGTCATTGTCCAAAATAGTGTTGTTGTTTTTTAAACAGATTGAAATTTTAATTTTTATTATTGTGACTAAAGAAGGACTACTATGGTCAATAACACAAGAATATTTAGGGGCCATTTACTATGTAGACAGTGTGTTGGGGCTTCTAACTTATAGCACATTCTTAGAGGACTTGCACATGAAGTGCAATTTGTGTCCATATTTTATATAAAAACTAATTGTTTTTTTTTACATTGGTACATATTTAGGCTCATTTATTGAGGAGAACCAATTTTGGTGCAAGATGTAGAACACATTTTGAGGTCACTTGACATAAAGTGATACAGAATCAGTAGCAGGAGTGATGAAGTGATGGTTCTTGGAGTATTTTTGTCAGATGTGACAAGTGTACCTATTTTTGCAGGTTCTTTGTCCAGCACATTAGATACTTTCCACCAACACACATGTGACGGCGAGTCGATGACGGTCAAGTGTCCACAGAAGACCATCATCAGCATACAGTTTGCCCAATATGGCCGCCAGGTCCCGAGCAGCGAGATGTGTCCGGCAGCAGGGTCATTGCACAGCGGCGTGTACGGCAACACGTACAGGACCTACAGGAACTACCGCTCACTGTCATACAGGCAGAAGGAGGATACCAACTGCCAAGCCACCACCTCCCTACAGGTCAGTGACAGGGCTTTCTTTGAATGGGGAGATGGGCCATCTACCATGCTGCAGTTTACTATGCAGAGTTGTGTCCCTTAGATGTTTCAGAATCCTGTGATTATGATTATGTTTCAAGGTTTTTCAGCACCATGTAACCCATGCTCTTGGGTTTCCTCAAAATCGTAAATGTCCCTTTAGACTCTCCTCCCACAGCAAGCTGACACACCATGACATAACTGAAATATTGTTCAGAGCGGTATTAAACCACTCACTCTTTCTTTTACCTAATAAAGAAACCCAGTCCTGATATGTGACAAGCACACACACCACCCCTAGGGCCACCCACCATTGTCCTCTAGATCGTCTACGTGGTGTGTGTATTCCAAGGCGTTGCTTAATTCACTAGCAAATCAACAAGAACTGAAAAATCCTTTGTACTCAAGAACAGTCGTCGTCCAATTAATCCAACTCAGCACCTACTCCAAATCACACCCACTGACCAGGCACAGTGCCCACTTGACCATCACTGCCACCTTTGTTTATACATTGTATTGATTCACAGTAGCCTTGACCGACATCTGGTCTGTAATACACCATTGCATGGCTACAGAGACTTAATCAGAACTAGTCCCCAATTGCTGCCGTGTTCCCCAGGCCGGAGACGAACACTCTTGCGCCGGTCCTATTGTCGCTTGAGGGAGCCAGATACCAGTGTTTGTTTTCATGACTTATCAGAAACTCTGGTACTTAGGTGTGAAATCTAATTTGACCCCACGGAAAGATTAACCAAGGAATGTTAATGAAGTTTTTTTCCCCAACAAGATATACCTGAAAGCAGTACTATCTGAATTGACCAAGTAATTTAAGGCTTTGAGATTTCTAAAGGAATTAGGCTGTGTTATCTATTTGTTATGCACTAAATATCCTCGTTCAGAGTTCTTTGAAGGTAGGCGGTTGGAAGTCAATGAAAAGAGAGGTTGTTTTAAAGGAACAGTGTCATGTGAGAACAGTGGGATATGGGCGAGGGATTGGCACATGGGTGTGGCAGAGGATAATGGGTGGGGTGGTATAGAAGTTCCGGTGTGACACGGTCAGGAGTTTTGAGGATCAAGCAGACAGTTATATTGGGCTTCTCGATCAGCCTCACAAATATTTATAGGTGGAATGTTAATTAGGAGGAGATATATTTAATCCACTAAGATGAATTATGTAAAGGAGATTGCTTTTTGTATTACTTTTTGTAAAGTAACTGTGGACAGTAGGTAGTATTGTTAGTAAGGTAGGTCAAAAATCAACCCGAGTCTAGTCTGATCAGGTCTTGTGGGTACCCAAGTCTAGTCTGATCAGGTGGTAGTGGGGTGGGTACCTGAGTCTAGTCTGATCAGGTGGTAGTGGGGTGGGTACCTGAGTCTAGTCTGATCAGGTGGTAGTGGGGTGGGTACCCGAGTCTAGTCTGATCAGGTGGTAGTGGGGTGGGTACCTGAGTCTAGTCTGATCAGGTGGTAGTGGGGTGGGTACCTGAGTCTTGTCTGATCAGGTGGTTGTGGGGTGGGTACCTGAGTCTAGTCTGATCAGGTGGTAGTGGGGTGGGTACCTGAGTCTTGTCTGATCAGGTCGGGTGGGTACCTGAGTCTAGTCTGATCAGGTGGTAGTGGGGTGGGTACCTGAGTCTTGTCTGATCAGGTCGGGTGGGTACCTGAGTCTAGTCTGATCAGGTGGTAGTGGGGTGGGTACCTGAGTCTAGTCTGATCAGGTGGTAGTGGGGTGGGTACCTGAGTCTAGTCTGATCAGGTGGTAGTGGGGTGGGTACCTGAGTCTTGTCTGATCAGGTGGAAGTGGGGTGGGTACCTGAGTCTAGTCTGATCAGGTGGTAGTGGGGTGGGTACCCGAGTCTAGTCTGATCAGGTGGTAGTGGGGTGGGTACCTGAGTCTAGTCTGATCAGGTGGTAGTGGGGTGGGTACCTGAGTCTTGTCTGATCAGGTCGGGTGGGTACCTGAGTCTAGTCTGATCAGGTGGTAGTGGGGTGGGTACCTGAGTCTTGTCTGATCAGGTGGTAGTGGGGTGGGTACCTGAGTCTTGTCTGATCAGGTCGGGTGGGTACCTGAGTCTACTCTGATCAGGTGGGGTGGGTACCCGAGTCAAGTCTGATCAGGTGGTAGTGGGGTGGGTACCCGAGTCAAGTCTGATCAGGTGGTAGTGGGGTGGGTACCTGAGTCTAGTCTGATCAGGTGGTAGTGGGGTGGGTACCTGAGTCTTGTCTGATCAGGTCGGGTGGGTACCTGAGTCTAGTCTGATCAGGTGGTAGTGGGGTGGGTACCTGAGTCTAGTCTGATCAGGTGGTAGTGGGGTGGGTACCTGAGTCTTGTCTGATCAGGTGGAAGTGGGGTGGGTACCTGAGTCTAGTCTGATCAGGTGGTAGTGGGGTGGGTACCCGAGTCTAGTCTGATCAGGTGGTAGTGGGGTGGGTACCCGAGTCTAGTCTGATCAGGTGGTAGTGGGGTGGGTACCTGAGTCTTGTCTGATCAGGTGGTAGTGGGGTGGGTACCTGAGTCTTGTCTGATCAGGTCGGGTTGGTACCTGAGTCTAGTCTGATCAGGTGGTAGTGGGGTGGGTACCTGAGTCTAGTCTGATCAGGTGGTAGTGGGGTGGGTACCTGAGTCTAGTCTGATCAGGTGGTAGTGGGGTGGGTACCCGAGTCTAGTCTGATCAGGTGGAAGTGGGGTGGGTACCTGAGTCTAGTCTGATCAGGTTGTAGTGGGGTGGGTACCTGAGTCTTGTCTGATCAGGTGGTAGTGGGGTGGGTACCTGAGTCTAGTCTGATCAGGTGGTAGTGGGGTGGGTACCTGAGTCTAGTCTGATCAGGTGGTAGTGGGGTGGGTACCCGAGTCTAGTCTGATCAGGTGGTAGTGGGGTGGGTACCTGAGTCTAGTCTGATCAGGTGGTAGTGGGGTGGGTACCTGAGTCTAGTCTGATCAGGTGGTAGTGGGGTGGGTACCCGAGTCTAGTCTGATCAGGTGGTAGTGGGGTGGGTACCTGAGTCTTGTCTGATCAGGTGGAAGATGGGTGGGTACCTGAGTCTAGTCTGATCAGGTGGTAGTGGGGTGGGTACCCGAGTCTAGTCTGATCAGGTGGTAGTGGGGTGGGTACCCAAGTCTAGTCTGATCAGGTCGGGTGGGTACCTGAGTCTAGTCTGATCACGTGGTAGTGGGATGGGTACCTGAGTCTTGTCTGATCAGGTGGTAGTGGGGTGGGTACCTGAGTCTTGTCTGATCAGGTTGTAGTGGGGTGGGTACCAAAGTCTAGTCTGATCAGGTGGTAGTGGGGTGGGTACCTGAGTCTTGTCTGATCAGGTGGTAGTGGGGTGGGTACCCGAGTCTAGTCTGATCAGGTCGGGTGGGTACCTGAGTCTAGTCTGATCACGTGGTAGTGGGGTGGGTACCCGAGTCTAGTCTGATCAGGTTGTAGTGGGGTGGGTACCCGAGTCTAGTCTGATCAGGTCGGGTGGGTACCCGAGTCTAGTCTGATCACGTGGTAGTGGGGTGGGTACCCGAGTCTAGTCTGATCAGGTGGTAGTGGGGTGGGTACCCGAGTCTAGTCTGATCAGGTCGGGTGGGTACCTGAGTCTAGTCTGATCACGTGGTAGTGGGGTGGGTACCCGAGTCTAGTCTGATCAGGTCGGGTGGGTACCCGAGTCTACTCTGATCAGGTTGTAGTGGGGTGGGTACCCGAGTCAAGTCTGATCAGGTTGTGGTGGGGTGGGTACCAAAGTCTAGTCTGATCAGGTGGTTGTGGGGTGGGTACCTGAGTCTACTCTGATCAGGTGGTAGTGGGGTGGGTACCTGAGTCTAGTCTGATCAGGTCGGGTGGGTACCCGAGTCTACTCTGATCAGGTGGGGTGGGTACCCGAGTCAAGTCTGATCAGGTTGTGGTGGGGTGGGTACCAAAGTCTAGTCTGATCAGGTGGTAGTGGGGTGGGTACCTGAGTCTACTCTGATCAGGTGGTAGTGGGGTGGGTACCCGAGTCTACTCTGATCGGGTGGTAGTGGGATGGGTACCCGAGTCAAGTCTGATCAGGTGATAGTGGGGTGGGTACCCAAGTCTAGTCTGATCAGGTGATAGTGGGATGGGTACCAGAGTCTACTCTGATCAGGTGGTAGTGAGGTGGGTACCTGAGTCTAGTCTGATCAGGTCGGGTGGGTACCCGAGTCTAGTCTGATCAGGTCGTAGTAACTTTAACTTCGACACATCCTACTACAGGGAGACAATGCACAAGAGGGACTCAGGAACACCAGAACACTCTAAAATGACACTCAAGTGTCGGCCAAAACGAGGCCAACAATTGTGAGGTTCGGAAGTTACACGAATCATGTTTTCTGTCCTTTACGCCAGTGTATTGTATTGTTCAGCACTCGGAAACATTTAGTAATATCCTTTGTAATGATGGGTTTAATAACCAGATTAAACCCAGATTATCTGTTCGAGGTGAATGGTTTTATAGACATTTATATTGAATTTGGTCATTCAGTGCAAACTGGGTTTGTCGTGGGGCAAAGGTCTACCTCATAACATAAACAGAATATGGACAAATAATGTCCTTTTGTGAGGTCCGACTCTCTGTATTATCTCCCCTGCTAAGAAGAAGCATTAAAGGGACTCCCAAGACGGCCTGTTAGCCCCTTGATGTTGACAATGAAAGTATTCAGGGTCTTCTCAGGTGGTTTGACGTGGCTTTGATAGAAATTCTACAGAGGTATTCATCTAATCCTCAGTTTATGTAAACCTGGGTGGAGATGTTAGAATGTAATTTGTCTTATCGGTAAATTATGACTTGGTTTCTGATGTTTGGATCAGCTTTCTCTTCTAATGGTGGCTGGGGTGTTCCTGTTAGTGTTCTTGGTGGCTGGAGATTGACAAGTGAAGATGATAGCAAGGCTGAAGTGTTTTTTTCTCTACATTCTCACACCTCCGTGACATGTCACTCTCAGTGTGGTATACACTCCTGGAACTGTATTGTATA